TACTATATCTTTCAATCAAGTTGGATGAGCCTGAAAGGGTTGTCAGATGTGCATTCTTAAGTATGAAGTTAGTGAAATAAATGCGTTCACGTAAAACTGTGTGCGTGGTCGCACTATTTGCCAGACAACTAACTTCCCCACTAGTCATACCTAGAATGAAAATTAATTTGAATCGGTCACATGTATAAAAGTTCTAAAAACAAATATCCATTCAAAATAATTTTAAGTATTCAAGGATGGTAATTAATTAAAAACTTAATATCCAAAAAACAAATCACCAATAAATAATCCAAATATAAAGGAAAATTGTTCAAAATTAAACCAAAAACACAATAGAGGTTTGGCCACTAGGTGGAATTCGGCCTCAATGTCTAAATTTCAACTAGAAAAATAGTTTATGTCTAAGATTCTAATCTTCTATAGGGCTAATAGCCTTTTGAAAGTCAGAAACCTCCATCTTGGTACCCTTCTGTTCATCCACTTGCATAAAGTTTGATTCTTACTTCTTACGACAAGAATAATATTCAGTTACAACCTTCTAGGGAGCATGGCAAACACGGGACCAATGGTCCTTTGAACCACAGCGAAAGCACATATCCCCATCCATGGTTTCAGGTGCTTTGCCCTTATTCTTGAGGTTTGGGGCCTTAGGAGTGAGTTTAGGGCACTTCTGGGCTTTGTTTTTTCCCTTAGATAGGCCTTGGCTCTGTTGACCTTGACGGGGTGGCTTCTGGCCACCCCTACCATGCCTTTGTTGGCATTTTGGGCTTTTGTTTGTGTTATAATATGCTTTAGGCACAACAGTCGCTCCAGTAGGTCGAACTTGATGATTTTTCATCAACAGCTGATTCTGTTTTCAGTGAAAAGTAAAACATAGATCATATCTAAAAACTTAGTGAACTTCTGAGCCTAATATTGTTGTTGCAGGACAATATTAGTAGCTAAGAAGGTCGAATAGGTTTTCTCCATGAGATCATCTTTAGTCAAAGTCTCGTTACAGAACTTGAGAAATGATCGGATTTGACAAACTTTATAATTATATTCATTCACATATTTAAAGTCTTAGAAGCGTAAATACTGCTAGTCATGTCTTTCTTCAGACAAAAAGATGTCCTTTTGGTGATCAAACGATCAACCAAAGCGACCCATAGTGCTCGTGGATCCTCCTCAACAAAGTACTCAGTTTGTAGTGTGTCATGAATATGTCTTCGGATGAAGATCATGGCAGTGGCTTTCTCAGCTTCGCCAACAGGGTTATCCGTCTAATCTTCAATGGTGGGACGCAAATTCTTTGTAGTGAGGTGGAGCTTCACATCTTGGACCCACTTGAGGTAGTTTCTTCCAGAGACCTCCAAAGTGGTGAAGTCGAGTTTGTTCAAATTCGACATGTTCTTATCACAAAATGAATGGACAAGATATGGTTAGTGTAATGGAGAAAAAATCAATCCATTCATATAGGAGTAGAACATTAAGGTTCTAATAGAGATGTATTGGTTTAAATTTGCATGAAAAAGCTTCGGGTTTTCATGGGTGATGTTTTTAACAGGTTTTCAAACAAGGCATGTTTCTAGAAACTTTAGGTTTCCAAATAATTATGAACTTCAGGTTCATATGTTCTTGTAGACAAACACAAATATATATACATAAATCTGCAACAAGAAAATATGTAAATAGAACTTCAGGTCTATAATTGTAATTGAAATAATTATTTGGACTTCGGGCCAAATTTAAAGTGTGGGTGAAAAAATTATAAAACTCAAATTGTCTAAAAAAAAAATACAATTAAGCTCAAGGTCTAAAAACATGAGCCAAAGCCCACGGGTGGGCTGAGCAAATTTGTATCGTGAAACGCAAGCCCAAAACTGGGCTGGGGTAGGCACGTGTTGATCATGCCCCAATTAGTTTTTGGACTGCAAGCCCAGTAGCAGCAAACGGGCTGCAAGGACAGGGTTCAAGAAATAGAGGCCTAGATAGGCGCTGATCAGGTGCACTGATGCACTAGCCGCAAGCTGGGATCCCGTGCATCGCGGGCGCAAGGACACGATAACCCTCGGGCTGGTGTCATATATTGGGCCGAGCCATGGTCTTGGACCATATCAGGCGAGCCCAATAACGAAAAAAAAAAATTAATTTTTTTTTATGTCACAGGCTGAGAAGGCCTGCCCAATTGACCTTGGGTTTCAGCAAAAAAAAACACCCTAGCTTTATTGGGTGTGGTCACTGGGGACGAAGGTCGGTGCCTCCAATACAGGCGGCCGTGTTCTGGTAAAAAAAAAATTCAAAACGAGTTGTTGTGTTTGACATGGAATCGAGATGGTGTGACGGAAAAAGTCTCGACGTCCAAAAACCAAAGAAAAATTTAGGATTCAAATTTGGGTTTTCGAAATCCGAGGAGATTCATACGAATCTCGACCAAAGACAAGGTCGGTGACGACTGCAAGGTCATCTAGGATGGTAGTCGTAATGGTTGTAGGCCATGCGTGTGACGCCGTGAAGGGCATTGGGGTTTTTGGGCTGAGTTCCAGATGTTTGGAACTTCGGGTTCCAATTGTGGCTCAGGTTTGGGTTTAAAAAACCTTAGATTTTTTTTAAATTTTTTTTCTTTATTTCCATATTTTAATTCAACGCATATGGACAAATAATTTAATGCATGAGCAGATATAGGATGCAATTCATGACAATATCAAATTCACATAATTCAACAATTATGAATATAATGCATACACAATTTATGTAGAATCTAAAATTCGAAAAATGTAAAGTTGAGTCATGCATTATGGTGAATGTTCATGCTATCATGGCTGCAAAAATATCAAGGTAAAAACTGTTGTTTTGGAAGAACCTGATTGCGTGATGATATTGGTGAACTGGTTTGATGCAGAAAGCTTCTATGTCAAATTCCTAAGCTCAACGGTAGAAGTATGTTGATAATGTGTTATGGCCTATTTTAACTAATAGAGAAGGGGGTCGGCGGCACAGAGAGATATGTGATTTTAGGGTTGTGTAGAGGAATGTATGTTATTCCCTCTACGCAATACCTTTATTTATAGTAATAAGAGAGAGCGAAGAAATCATTCTTTTTCAAGGAATACAAGTCCATATAGGAAAAAATAATTAGAATCAAATCTAATCTAGGATTTACACAATCACACTTAAACTAGAACTTAAACTAGAAGTTTACAACAGGTTTGGGATTGTGGTGTTTAAAAAAAAAAAAAAAAAAGACAAAAAAGCTTATTAAAAAATCTGGAATATTAAATGTGTTTGGTATACCATGCTCCTAAAAAAAACTTTTTTTTTTTTCAAAGTATAGTAATAAATGCTAATTTAATGAAATTTTTAAATAGCAAATACTCCCACATGTTTGACAAAATTACAATTGTTGCCCCTACATATTGTTTTTAACAATTATTATATCACATGAAATATCACACCCTTTTTAGTCATTTAACATATTCAAAGCAATTTATATAAAAGTTTACCAAATACTCACACTCTGCTTTTTTTTTTTTATAATTAAAATCACTTTTTAATTTATCAAACACTCAACAACTTTATAAGCTTAGTAGCATGGTAGACCCTACTTTTGCTTTTCTATATTTTTCTACGGTCATTGATAGCAGTTTTTTTTTTTTTTTAAAGCATTTTTTTTTTGTTTTACCAAACATGTTTGATATTCTAGAATTTTTAATAGGCTAAATAGCCAAAATGGTCCCTGAGATTTGCATAACTCATCACTTTGATCCCTAACATTTCAAATCGATAAAAGTGGTCCCTGTGATTGTCCATCATCCATCATTTTGATCATTCCGTTAAAAACTCGGTTAAGTGTCCCGAAGCTCTTGGCTAGAAGTTTGGGCAATTTTCAAAGCTTCGTAACTCCATTGTTTCTTAACCAAATTCGACCCATAATATATCAAAATGAAGATAGGAAAGTGTAGAATACGATTATACCTATTTGGAAGTCCAATGGCTGCCAGAGATGGCCTGAAAATAGCCTCAAAGTTGACTAGTCCGAGGGAAAAGTGGAAAAGTCGCCGAAAATTAGGTAAACTTTAAACGTTCATAACTTCTTCAATACTCAATGAAATCAAGCGATTCAAAAATAAAAATCATACTTCTCGATGAGATGAAGAGAATTGTACCTTTTTAGATAGCTAAAGCACCTTGGTTTGGCCGGAAAATGGCTCGAAAGTGGCTAACTCGAGACTAAGACAGCCACTTTTGAGCCGTTTTCCAGCCAAAACATGGCGAGTTAGCTATCAAAAATTTACCATTCTCTTTGTCTCATCGAGAAGTATGATTTTCATTTTTGAATTACTTGATTTCGTTGAGTATTGAAGAAGTTATGAACATTTAAAGTTTACCCAGTTTCCGACGAGTTTTCAAGTTTTCCCTCAGACCAGTCAACTTTGAGGCTATTTTCCGGCCAACTCTGACAACAATTGGGCTTCCAAATTGGTATAATCTTATTCTACACTTTCCTATCTTTATTTTGATATATTATGGGTCGTATTTGATTAAGAAACGATTGAGTTACAAAGCTTTGAAAATTGCCCAAACTTCCAGCCAAGAGCTCTGGGACACTTAACGGAGTTTTTAACGGAATGATCAAAATGATGGATGATGGACAATCTTAGGGACCACTTTTATCGATTTGAAATGTTAGGGACCAAAGTGACGATTTATGCAAATCTCAGGGACCACTTTTGCTTTTCTATATTTTTCTACTGTTATTGATAGTATTTTTTTTAAAAAAGTTTTTTTTTTTTTAATTTTACCAAACATGTTTGATGTTCTAGATTTTTAAATAAGTTGCTTTTTAAAAAGCACTACAATCCAAAATCACCCCTAAAAGTAGAGCTTGGGTGGAAAATTAAAATAAATATTTCTTAGTATTTACGCACATTCTTAATAGTCTAGGTGGTGTTTGTGCAAATATCCCAGATATTTTTATTCTTTAAAATTAAGGAACAAAAACACACATAAAGGTCATAAAATTCCTGGAGCAGAAACTAAAATATTTCATTCATATGGATGTACCTTCTTCTACCTTACAACACAAATATATCAAACAAGGCATTACATCCCATGTCCCTTGCACCAATTACTTGTTGAACTACAGTTCGGCAAATATATCAAACGTACCAAAAAATGTATAGGTAAGACTAACAAATTCAATGGATGACTGTTTTTTTTTTTTATAAGATGGAACTGAGAAGGAGATCAGTAAGTCATAAGGGGTGACCCACTACAATGGACATCAGAAGCGTCGGAGATCCTTTGTTTCGGAGATAATGTCGTCATGGCAGCAGCATCGACGTCGAGATTCAGATAAGTTTTCCTCTTTTGTGTCTCTGAACTCGCCTTCTCATCTGAAGCTTCAGCAATTGGACTCAAGGGCTCCACTTCCTTTTGGGGGGCAGACAGCATGGCTTGAGCTTCTGCCACCACCGATGCATTATCATCGGTAGCATATAGAATCTTCTGTATAGCAGCAACAACCTGCGTAAGGAATAAAAACCATTAATTTCCACTGCCTATCAGTCATATAGAAAAGTTTCCGGTAATTCTGATGAGACATCCAGAAAAAATCAAAACAGAAGAGTGAAAGTACAGTACAGTTAGGTGTTCAATCTCAGGACTCTGGCAAAGTATCTCAATATCTCTGAGCTTCGCAAAGTAGAAGTCCCTCTCCTTCTCAAGGCTATCCACCGACAGCTTCAACTCCGTGATCTGCATTCAAATTAGTATTAGACCATCTAACATTCATTGATTGAATTCTCACTCATACTCAGACTAAAAGCACCACCTGTTCATCATACGCAGGGGTTGTAGGGCCTCCACTGGAAGAAGGCCTCGAGGTCTTCCCTGATTGACTTGTGGAGTTCACAGAAGGTGCTACATCATTTCTTCGAGCATTGTGGGAGGACTGAGATCTTTGGGGAGCTGCTGAACCCTTAGCTGATGATTGCAATTGGGCACCTCTCTTGTTTCCTTCTTTCCCAACTTTGCAAGCTTCTTTCCCTCCTTTGCAAGCTTCTCTCCTCTCCAGAGCATTGTAACTAACAGTGACAATAAAAGGCATATCATTTATATGCAAAATTTTCCCTTAGTTACCGCTAACAAACGAACAACTTTGTTCTTTCTTTCAAATATGCAGCCCCAAAGGAACTTAACTTGTCATTGACGAGTGCAGACTTGAGTACGAATATATCATCATAATATGCAGAGCATAGCGGATAAAATAAATGTCCAAGGTAAACAAGAGAAGGCAAGTCCAAGGTACTAACCAAACAGAAAGCAAACACTTGGGAGAGAGCATAGATACTAAGTATAGGATTCGAATTTTGATTTTGATTTTCAACAACGGCAGAAAATTGAATCAAAATGAAGTTTCGCAAGAATTGGAGTTCTACATTCAAATATGGATGAAGTCCATTTGCTTCAAACATATACAGCATGTCTCAATAGAAATACAAACACTTGATGGTTCAACTTACAACAAAATGTAACTCCCAGATAACATCATAAACAGTTATTGAATGGAAGGGAATTCTTATACAACGTACACAATTATGGCTAGAACTTACTTGTTCATACTGCCTCCATTGACAGAATCGCAGTACCGCTTCATCCATTGCATGAACTCCAGATTATCGAGCGGCCTTCCTTTCACAAGCTTGCTCACTTCAATGTGCTAAAAACGCCCAATACACACACACAGAAAACAAAAATGGTAAACACATAGCATAAATTCAAGAAAAAATGAGGATCAAATCTACTCCAATTATATTTAATAAATTACAACGAAGAAAGCAAGGAAAATTGAACCTTAGTGATTTTGAGTTTGTTGAAAACGTCCTGAAGGACCTTGTAGTTCTGAATCATCTCGTACTCGCTCTTGGCATCAAAATTGACCTTGTGCATCGGCACAATACCGTTATGAACGGCATCCATGAGTTGGCAGTGAACGGCACCGGAACACGCCTGAAAATGCAGATTAGAAAATCGATGGGCGAAATTGAATCGTAAGAGAGTAAATTCGAAATGGAAAAGGTTGGGGTTTAGGGTTTGGAGAAAGAACCTCCTCGACTTTGCTGAGATTGAGATGGAGAGTTGAGTTGATCCAGGCCAAGATCTCGGTCCTGCCTACGAAGTAAGCGCCGTCCATCATACCAATATTCGTCGCCATTGGAGATTTTGGTGAGGTCTCTGCGTCTCTGGGGAGAGAGAGAGAGAGAGAGAGAGAGAGAGAGAGAGAGAGAGAGAGGAATTTAAAACTGGGAGGCGTTTCGGGGAGCGGGATCTTTTCAATATAAATTCAAAAGTGGCTTTCGGACCGAACCGTTCGTCTGGAGATTTGGATCTCTGGGCTTCTAACCCGCTTGGTGGAAGCCCAAATATTAAGCCCAATGTTCAGGCTGCTTCTTGAAAGTGAATTTGTGTTAATTTTTTTGTCAAACGATGTCAGAAGCACATTGGTGGAATGACTTAGTTGAGACATTTGCAATAAGATAATTGATTTTTGTACTATCTTTTGACCTTTTTCACTTATACGTTTAAGTACAAGGCACTCTCGTTTGCAAAAGGTAAAAAGGGGAGTGCCTTGTATTTAACTTTTGAGGTACAAATACTCTAATTTGGGTCCACATAGCATAATAGATACTAATACAAGTTTGATACACGAGATGCATGTATACATTGGGGGATGATATGGATACTTGGATACGAGGTGGATACTCACAAAGACGAATGGGGATGTAAGGAATAAAATAAAATTTTTCTATCGGACTATAAATACGAGGTGCAATAGGTTGCACACAACGATGCTAGGACTTTATGAGATCTCTTACATTTTTGTAGTACTAATAACAATTAAATTGATTGAATTTATAAGATGATCGATGATACAAAAGTATCTATCATTGAAGTCACCACTGATAGCTCAAATCTTTGTCATAAAAGGACATGCATCTGCATGATTGACACATTGGCATATAAATTATTAAAATATTTCGTCAATTGACCAACAATTTTAAGGTGCATCTTATTGACTAATGAAGATTAATTATTAGCTAATCAACACTTAAACCTACTACAAGCACCAATCCAATAATCTCAAAAACAGATGGATTCATACTGAAAAATAAAATAAAATAAAACAAAAAATTATTGGTCAATCATACATACATCTCTCTCTACAAATTAAGGGGCATAATAATACAATGATGAAGGAGAAGATGGGAATTTCCCAAGGACCTGTAGGGCTTCTTTCATTGTTGGTCTCTTTTGTGGGACAGGCGACGCACAATTGTACCCTAACTTGAACAACGACAACAAGGCCTCCTCTTTGCCCTCCAATTCACCTCTAATTGCCATATCTGCCATCCTCAAGGCCTTGCCGCCATCATCCACTCCAAGCCCAAGTCCCTGCCCTGCCTCATCCACAACCACAACTTTCCCGGTTAGTAGCTCAAGCAATATCACCCCAAATGAGTACACATCCCACTTTGGGTTCGGCTTTAGGCTCCGAAGCGACTCGGGGCAATGATAAGGCGATGTGCCCATGGAGCTAGGGCTCGGACTTGGACCCGGGCTAGGTCCTAGTCCAAAGTCCTGAAAGCCATCCCGTGAAGTCGTTGATCTCTTGCTTCCAAAATTTCTTGTCGAGCTACCCATTTTGTAACTTGTGTCGCCGGACAAAAGTCTCTCGAGTCCAAAATCACCAATCCGGGGCTCCATGTCCGCGTCTAGGAGAATGTTGGTAGGCTTGAGGTTCCCATGGACATGCTTCTTCTCGTGGAGGTACGCGAGCCCACGGGCAACCCCTTTCGCTATCTTGAGCCTCGCTTCCCACGGTAGATGACAAGGCGATGTGCCCACCTTCCCTGAAATTTTTAGGACACAATTAGTACGAAATTTCAAATTTCAGTCATGCTATAGTACCAATTTTGGAAAAAAATCTCACTCACATTGTCACTTATTAGACAAAATTTAGAGACAGGTGACAGAAACAAAACAAGAGCGTGACCATAGAAGTAAACAAGTGGCTGTATTATCATGTAAGTTGGATTATTGTGTGTAACCATCGCTATCGCAAGACTTGTGGGGTACGTAACGGTTGACTTGAAGCGTTAACAAATGTTCAGTTTGACCTACTTCACCGTCGAGGAGAAATATTTTAGTGTGACCGCCACACCGTCACCATCGGTTTTCAGAGCATGTTAGCAAAACCCGATACTATTGCACTAACATGCGCATAAACAAATGCCAGAGGAAAAACAGAGACAACTCACTGTAACGAGCGTTTGCGAGGCTGCCATTTGGGACGAAATCATAGATAATGAGCTTCTCATCGATCCCCCAATAGAATCCACGAATTCGAACCAGGTTCGGGTGAACCAATTTGGCCACGAGCTTGATTTGGTTCTCGAAATCCTTGAACCGGTCCACACTCTGCTCCCCGATCCTCCGAACTGCCAACGAGCTTCCGTCTTCGAGCACTGCCTTGTACATTATGCTCGAACCGGTGGCGCCCAGAATGTACGCCGAGGCTTTGAGCAGTGTCTCCAGTTCTAGCTCCTTTTCGCCATCGACGGTGACCAAGGTCCCGCCTTTGCTCTTTTCCTGCTCTTGCTGCCGTTTGATTTCGTGACCCCTTTGGGGATTCTGCTCCGTCTGATGTTCTTCGGATTCGGAGGCTGTCGTGTTGGAGCTGTCTTCGTCTTCGCCTCGCTTTCTCAAGCACGACCATCTGGTGAACCCTTTCGATTCCGACGAGGAAGACGACCAGTCGTTGACTACCGGCGTTGAATTCGTATTAGCGTCTTTCTTCAGCGTTGCTGTGATCTCGGCCTTGGTGCTCTTCTTCTTCTTCTTCTTCAATCTGTAAATGTACAGGAAAATCAGCGCGAGGATTCCGATTCCGGCTATGTCGCCGGCTACTATTCCGACAATGGCGGCCGGTCTGAGCCCGGTCTGGCTCTGCTGCGAATGCTCATTTGCAGACATCGGCGAAACGGCTTCTGGGTTCCTGGGAATTGCAGCAATTGCCGGAGGAGAATTCGGAGACGAAGCATTGGGTGAAGAGGAAGGAGAAGAAGGAATCGGACATGGGTTCTTGGTCGGTGGGCCACACAGATCAGGATTGCCGGTAAAAGACCCAGTTTCTTGGTTCAAGAACACCTGAGATTCCGGGAGTTCGCCGGTGAGATTGTTGAAAGATAGGTCGGTTTTGGCTTTACCTGGAATTTTCTCGGAAAATTGCGGTGGTATTTTCCCGGAAATTCCGTTGTGGGAGACGTTTAAGTAACTCAGACTGTTGCCGCCGAAATCAGACGGCAGGGAGCCGTTGATCAGATTCGAAGACAGATCCAAAACCTGAACGGATTCCAACCCGCTGGGAAGGCCGCCGGAGAAATGATTATTCTTCAAAGAAATAATCGTTAGAGAGGGCAGAGAAGACAGATTGGTGGGCAATTTTCCCGCCAAGGCGTTGTCGGAGAGGTTGAGACTCTGGAGGTTGGTGAGCTGCGACACCGCGTCCGGCAGCTCGCCGGAGATCAAATTGTACGACAAATCAAGAACCCGAAGCTCCGTGGCGTTGAAGAGCGACTGTGGGAGGGACCCGTTGAGGGAATTGTTGGAAAGATCGAGACTTTGAAGGTGTTCGATCATGCCAAGGTTGGCAGGGATGGAACCCAGAAGCTGAGAGTTGGGAAGATTCAAACCTACGACTCTTGGGTAGTATTCCGACGATGGTGTTGGCGGCGCCGCGCAAACGACGCCTCTCCATGAACACGGCGTCTCGTCGTACGAATTCCAGGTTGCAAGAACGGACTGAGGGTCTCGGAGGATAGAAAACTTGAAAGAAAGTAAGATAAGTCCATCTGTGTCGAGAGCAGAAGATTGGACCGAGAGAAGAAGAAGAAGAAGAAGAAAGCATGGTAAAAAATGGAGGCTTTGGGAGCTCATGATGTTTCTGCACTGGAATCCCACATTTCTCTCTCTAGAAAACACAGACAGACAGAGTATAGAGAGAGGAGCGAGATTTAATAAGTTATGGGAAAAGTGAGGCCATGTGAGAGGGAGGAGTTGTTAAATATTATGGGGAAATAGTGGGCATTGGGATGAACAGTTCACAAGATTGGTACCAATATGCTCTGTGTTTTTTGCAACAGCTGATAATCTGCTTCTGCTTCTGCTTCAGCTGTTCAGCTGTTGTTGCAGATATATACAAATGAAGTGCTTTTCTGGATGGTGATTTAAATGCTTTCACCGTTTGGGTTCTTGCCTCATCTCCCTGCCATGTCAACATTTAAGAAACAAAAGAAATAGAAATCCTAGAGAAAAAAAAAGAAAAAGAAAAAATAAATAATGGAGGCGAAGTGAATGGCATCTTTTGGTACGTGACATGTAGGTGGATTTTGGGGAGTTACAAAAGCTTTTCTCCTGTTAGATTGACTTTACAAAACCATTTGCTCTTATTTTAATTAGGGTTTTTTGGGATTATTATATAGGATTGCTGCTGCCAGTTTAACGTCGAGTGAAATAGGCTAGTGACCTAAATCTCCCATATGACAGGTGCTGAGAAAATTTTTAATGTGATTAGAAGATGGAATGGTATATTACATATTTTTAAACAAACAGTAAGATTATTGTGTTAAAAAATTAATAAAATAAAAAGTAAAGTTTCTCATCACTTAAAGCATCTTCAAAGGAGATGTCAAATTCAAATCATCAAATTTTAATTTGATGGCTGACTTAACAATTTGACATATTATCAATATTTTCCTTCTATCCGATATGCCAAAATTTTATTTTTCATTTATGTTTTTTGTAAACAAAAATAATAAAAGTTGGGTTGTTGGTTTAGAAAGGCTTAAATGTTAAAATGATTCATGTGTTTTAGTCATTGGGTCAATTTAGTCCATGTGTTTTCAATTTAGTCAATTTAATCATTGTGTTTATCTCCATTAGCCAATTAAAAACAATTCAATCTAATTTATAAAAAAAAAATTATAAATTAGTATAAACTTATTTATAAAATTATACCTTAATCATTTTTCAGATTGAAAATTTTATCTCTTGTATGTATTATCTCTCATTGATTTTCATTTTTCTGTAAAAAGAAAAGGTAATTATATCTCATATAACTTTTCTTATGAATTTTTTAAAAGAATATGAATGAAATGTCCTTAATTGACTAACATAGACAAACACGATGACTAAATTAGCTAAATCGAAAACACGAGGACTAAATTGGCCATAAGA